GAACTCAACTTCCCCTCTCCCTTCATCCTTCTTACCCAACCGGCCGCAAAACTGGAGAACTTCGAGATTAGGGCGTGATTGCTTTTGTAAAAAAAAAACACGTAATTTGCCGATTTCTCGCGAATTAAAGCTCAATCTTAAAAACTATCAACACAAACAGGCAAAGGAATGTTTCCTCTATCATTTGGTATACACACTACGAAAAAGACATGTAAATTATAGTGCCCTGAGACCGACACATGCAAGCGGCCCTTTTGACATAAGAATCAGTTGAAAAGGACGAGAAAATCAATTCAATCAAACGCACTTTTCGTCGACTTGCATGTGTTTCAGTTTCAGGACACTTAATTTTACATGTCAGGTTTGTTTACGTTTCATGATTTACGTCAAAGCTGAATTACATCTCGTGTAAAAATAATAATTTCTAAGTGTGTAGTTTGTTTGTAAGATTGTTCTTTTATTCGCGAGAAATCGGCGATTGACGTGTTTGTTAACAAAAGCAATTACGCCGAAATCTCAAAGTTCTACGGAAATCTGAAAAGTATCGTTGAAGTCACGTCAAGACATTTCAAAATACACCGGCCATCCATGCATAATTCCAGAATAGCTATTTATGCAACAAGTTGCAGAAAGAAATTCTTTTCAGCACGAGTCGTAGTTTATCCAACGAGGCTTGCTTTGTGCAACTTGATGCATAGAGGAAAGTGGGGCAGTTTGGACACCTTAAGACAAAAAAATTAAGTGGAAAATTCGAATGATGTCTAACCAAGTGGATAGTTTCAAGCCCTATTTACATCATGAATACAAATTGAATATTAAAAGTAAACTTTTGAATCTTATGCAAGAAGATATAAAAAATGTTCGTTATTTAACCGAAATTAAACCGTTGGGGTAAGATGAGCACCCTGTCGGGGTGGTATGAGCGACCTTGTAAGCAAAGGGTAAGAATATTATGTTCTCTTGAGACTTCATGAAGGGTCAACAATGAACAGTTATAGCAAAAAAATATTTACAAGAAACAATTATTCTCTGTAGAATAAATTAAATTTCAGAAGTACTGCCTATTTAAGGTTATAGTTTATCATTCTTGTGAATGACTGATTTTTTACCAAAGCAGCTGTTTGAAAACATGGTTTCATATGATACAGTCATATTTATGAAAGGAATAATGCAAAATTGAAGAATTTAAGTTGAAATATCAGTGGTGCTCATATTGCCCCGAATGGACATAGTAATATTTTGTTAAGAAAATCTTGAATGCTCATTAAAATCTAGATAAACATCGTGTCATATAAGAAACCAATGACCATTTATAAAACTGCTAAAGGAATATCAACGATAAGTTATTATAAGCTACTGATAGACTTTAGTTTCTGATTCAGAAAACTTATAACATTTTTGAGCTAGTCCAATATTTTTAGAATATTTGCTCTAGAGAAAAGTATTTTATTAGACTTTAATGAAATGGACAGTAGAAGTAAGTTTCAAGCATTAAGCCTGCAACAGATTTTTTTTTTGTAAAATATGTTCAATAAATTAATTTTTAATCGGGTGGCCACATTGCCCCATTCCACAGTGGTCCAAGAGGGTGTTTTCAGGTAAAAACTAATAAAAATGCATAAAGATGCAGTTCAATCAAGTTGGTGTCTGCAGACCAGTGCTGAGATTTGTCATTGTCATTGACAGACTTTTGCGCGATATTGACAAAATTGTTTTTCACATAGTCAATGATAGACTTGATCCTCAAAAAAATCTTTGTCAAAATCTCATTCATTTTTTCGTCAATGACAAAGATTCACCTGGTAACAGAAAGTGTAATTTCTTGTATTCTGAGACACATTATTTTTATCCAAGCGGTTCACTGCCGCTTTTCGCATGTCGGTCCCATGGCAAAAATCAGCAAGCCGAGAAAATCGCATTTTTAGCTTGATTCGTACCATTGCTTCTTATGTGATGAGACAACCAATTTGGCTGTCTTTCCAAACTTTTTCAGAACAAAGTTATTGAGTTCATCCAGTATTAAGAAAATATGAGTGATCAGCTACCATTTGCATTGTAAAACTCAGTTTTGACAAAAACTGCTATGGGACCGACATGCGAAGAGCGGCAGTTCAGGACGTAGATGCTTATTCACTTTAATGGCTCCATGTAATTGTTTTGCTCAAGCCATTTTATTTCATTTCATATTTAGCTAATAAACAAATCAGCACATATTCGTCACTGACAAAAATGCTACTAACAATTGACATGGTTTGCCTTGACGATGACTGTTAGCTCAAACGAGTGACCAAAGCAGAATTTTGAGTATCACCGTGTATTGTCGAAATTTTGCAGCACTGGTCTTCAGACAAGTTTAGATTTAAAAATGAAGCGCATCTGATGAAGCGGTCGTTCATTATTTAAATCCCGTAGGACAAAAAATGAAATTTATTTCTTTTTTTCTATGAAATGTTCCACAAAGTTGTAGATCTTATCATTTCCACAAACATTGTTAGAAACATCAATGGTTCAAATCTTCGTTTTCATTGAGATATGAAGTATTTTTTAAGGAAGGTCCCTTCAAATCGTTTCTTTTTTCATAACTTTTTTATTCGATTTTTTCATGGCATACTATTTTAAAACAAGTTTTTTCATTTACCAAAACAAGCAACTTTCTAGAATACTTCAACAACGCTACCTCACAAATGCAACATGTTAAGAGCGTTTTTTGTGTTGAAAACATACTATATTATGGTGGATAATTTTCAAATTGGGGCAACCAGTTTTTCAAACGAATGACGTGATCAAATTTTACGTGCTTTGATTAATATTTTCATATGAAAGTATTAGAGGGGAAGTTATTTTTCATTACAGGAAAGCTATGTAATCATGTTTTTTAGCTCAATTTTACTTAAAATTGGCTCTTTTCTGAACTAACTTTTATACATGGTGGGGTTCGGATCAAGTTCCCCTTCATATGATGCGCCTTTTTTCAAATCTAAACTCGTTAAACTGCATCTTTATGCACTTTTTTTAGTTTTTACCTGAAAAACACCCTCCTGGACCACTGTGCATTGGTCATCTTGCCCCACTTTCCCCTACAACATTTTTTGCACTCAAAAGAGTGTCGAAAATTAGAACTGTTCGGCACTGGCATTTTAGTTAGGAAAAGTAGGCCATTATGTTATGTCGAAAAGTAACACTTTTCAGCACTGAGTGCTAAGCTGCGCTGGTGGTGTAGTGGTAACCGTTATTGCCTCTCACCCCAAAGGGTCTGTTGTTCATTCCCAGTCGGCGTCGCCGGGATTTTCTGAAGCATCAAATCTCTGATCACGCCTTCCTTCGCCGTTAGTTCCAGTTTCATGAGTTGATGGGTCAGTAGGTGGTAGGGTCCAAGTGTGGGAGCTGCTTTACTGGTGTCGATCGTAGATCGACGGAAAATAAAATCAAGGAATAAAAAAAAAGCGCTGAGTGCTAAAAAAACGCATTTTTTCCAATGATGTAAAGTTTAACAATCGTCTAAATAATGCCCTTTTGTTTTAAAAACCAAATCGGCAGTGTTTACCGATTTTCACAAATGTCATCCATTCGCAAGAAATGCCCATTTTCAATTGTAGCTTTTTTATGCTGGCAGTTAGGGTTTTCGACTGATTTCCGTCCTACTAAGCACAACCCGCGCTTTACCTCAGTTTTCTGAACTAGTTTAAACAAAAAATGGAATATTTCTATCGAATATGACTTTTAAATGTATTCACCTGGATTTAATAAAGAGTTGCAAATTGTTGAGATATTGTTTAAAATCTAATAGAGGAAATGTTGACCTCGGCAATACCTTAACCTTTTATCGTCAGGGGGTAAACAATGTCCTAGAGCACTCAAATTTGGCCAATAGATGCTCTGAAACACAATGTATCCACATTCAAAAATTGAGCTCTCAAGGATGTTGTACTGACGATAATAGAATAAGGTTTTGCCCTACTACTTCTTGATTCTAAATTCGTTCTACGAGTTTCAATTCCGTCCTAACGCATTGAAACACCATTAGATTTTTTCTTCGTCCTACGGATAAACGTAGAAAAAGGGGATTCGCTGGAGCGATTCTTTTGTTTTGAGAACAATGAGCGTAAATATTCATACAATGCGCTCTAATAGGATTTATGCTGTAGTTAATGAACTAACGCATCGGAACAAACCTATTATTGATTTGTGTATGGTGAAATCATTGAAATTATTGATCCTTTTTGATCGATAGAACGGATGAGTGATAACGACGAAGTAGCGCTGTACCCTATGCCGAAAAAGTTCCAATCAAAACAATTTAGTAATTCTAAGAAATTCATTTTTCGAACATCGGAGTGCTTGAAATTGACAGATAAATTCGCTGTTTTAATCATTGAAATGTTTAAATCTAAGCAGCAAAAATTTTCCACAAAAAGCAATAGTACATACTGCCAAAACCCTTCGGCCCCTTCGTCACCGCGTCACGCCACATCGATTTCGCGCGGACCAACTCTCCCCCGTTTTCCTTCCTCACCTTCCCGCAAACCCCGTCCCGAATGAAGCTCGCATCAGATTTGGAATACTAATGAAATTAATTATCATATAATAGCCCAACCTCAACCGACTGACTGACTGACTGACGACTGCTGGCGTTGTACCCTGCTGATACCTACCTAGTACCTCTGACGTTTGTGTGTGTGTGTATGTATCACGGTATCAGGGTACCTACATATTTAGCAACACAAACGACAACTGCTGGCTGCTGATGGCGATCGCCGATCGCCGACGCTCGAGATGGTTGGGAGTAATTATATTAGAAATCACCATGTTTGAGAAGGAACCTGTTTTCTGGATGTTGATTTGATTTTTTTTATAATGTATTATTCAAATGACAGTGCTGCCAGCAGTCCACATTGGAGGACTCTGGCAGTTTTGAATTGCGTCATCGGATAATTTGGGGGGTCGGATGGCAGTGATGCCAAGGTTACAATTTTAAATTTAGCGATTGTTAAGGGACTTACCGATTCTTTTGGGTAGAACATCATTTCTTGGGCCATTTTCGACTGTTTTTTTATAACTTAAAACTCACGAATCAATAAATAGACAGTGAATAAATAAATAACTTAGTTAAACGTTTTCTAAACTGCGTACTTTCGCTGCTCTTTCGTATGCACCACTTGCGCCGCAAAGCAGTCTGTTCATATAAATAACTAATATAGCTTCAGTTTGCACGCTTTTTCACTCGCAACTTTGTTTATGCGAAAACGCCTCCTCCCGCTATCGCTCTCGGCCTAGGCTTGTGCAATTTTCCACTGATTTACACGCCTCTGCTCACGCGCTCGTTAAATGTGTTCACTTTGCTTGCAGCGCATTAAGCCAAGCACCCAATATGTTGTATGATAACAGTTATCAGCGGTGTAAACTCATCTCTTGCTCACTTCTGGCGAATAATTACAGACAGAACTTGTGCGCGGATCGTGCCACTTGTCTTCTCCCGTCTCTCTGTCTATTAGGTGACTGCTATTTTTGCGATAATCTTTCACTTTCGATTTGCACGTTCCACCGAATTATCACCGCAGTTTGAATTTCGTTTGTTTTGACTATTCCGCAAAGGTCGCGCCACTTGCTGCTCGCACTTGATTTTGAATTTGACTCTTCTCGACTACTATCTCTTCTCAGCGCACTATCTCCAGAGACTTTCAAAGTTGTCAGAGTTGATGCTAGTGGAATGGAATTTTTTTTAAATCCTCGCGAAAGTAGCAATAATCAATCCGCTCTGTTCAGCTTTCGACTCGTGAATAAACGCGAAGTTGATCGCGCAAAAGCCAACCACTCTCCTGCTGCTGGAGTCGCTCGTTTGCTCACTCGCGCTCGTCCAAATGCATGTGTGTGTGTGTGTGTGTGTTTGTGGGTGATCGGTAATCCACTGCTCTCATCGTAAATAGTCGTCGCATGCTGCTCCGCGCGGTCTGTAGTTGTGGTGGCGACTCCAACCTACTCATTCACATGCTTCGCCAAATCCCTACAAAGCCCCCAAGAGTCAAAACAAAACAAGTTTTTGCTCGCAGAGAAACACGGCTTTGTGAATGTGTTTGTACCTATATGAGAGGTTTTATGCACGGGGAGCCAGCTCCAAAAGATCAAACCACCACCCCCTGCCCGGCCTGATGCCTTCCTACGGCCAGTGGGTTGCTTGGTTGCGTGACAAACGAGAGAGCGAATAAGGATGGGGGAGGTGGACGGCGACGACGACGAAAGCGACTGATTTTAAAGTTTTGTGTTGTCGTTTTTTTTTCTTTCTCGAGAGTCACGTAACTTTTTGCCACCATCGATATCGGTGCATTCCAATCGACGGAAATTTGGTTGAATTTCATAAATTTGAATTTAATTTCAAAATTTGTAATTCATTAAAACCATCATCCACGGTGAGAGTCGCACAAGAGTCAGTTTTAAACTTTGAACAGTCATCGATTTTAGTAAACGAAGCTAAAACCCATTGCGAAGCGACGGTGATGGTGCCATAAATTCAAATTCGCCATAAAGTCACCGGATCATCAAAACCAGTCGTATACCTACCATTGTGCTTATATCTACCAAACAGGGTTGCTTCAACTCACTTCGCTATAAGCTATGTTTTTTTTTATTACTCATGTTATGATTATATTTTGTACTTGTAAGATACAAGAATATGCTGTAAAACTTGTTTTTGCACATTTAACCTATTAATTCGCTTCCAAAGAGTCACAACCATCGATTTAATGAGTTGCAAGCGTTCATTCAAAGCGAGCACTCGCGAATCATAGAATCACATATTGTGACTCTTTGAAAGCGAAATGGCAGGTATTGTGTGTCAAACACTACATTACAGTCTCTCTTATAGCTTAGCGGCCGTTCATAAACTACGTAACGGGTGTTCAATAAAAAAAAATAAGATTTTTTTCATTCATATAGGGGAAATGACGGCTTCGGCATGACAGAATATTTTCGGCAACCCAAATTGAAACACTAATTTCACTGGATTTTCTTACGAAAACACATCGCTGAATGCATGCAAACGATTCTTTATGCTTTCAGCTTCAATTTGACTATATTTTTACCACTGAGAAAAAGCAATCTAGCAGGGTTTTCTTGAAATGAAACACACGCACTACAAATTGTAGCTGATTTCGAGTTGCCGATAATAGAACAGCAGATTTACATGTAGTTCAAATGGAACGGTTGCCGAAGAAAAACTGGTTGCCGACAATACTCGCTCTAGAGAAGATTGGAGCTTTGTAAAAGAGTTTCAAAACAGTTTTTGACCATTCTTTCGACTGAAATTGTTAGAGCAGCTGGCAGCACAAGATTGTTAACAAACCAATACTGCATATGTGTGCGTTCCTTAGAGAAAAAGGCTATAGAAAGAACGTCACTGCTTAGGTTGCCGAGAATACGTAAATTCCCCTAGCTTAAAAAAAAATCAGCGAGTTCAGTATTTTTTTAATAAAAACATAATGTTTATTCTTAAAAAAAAAAACGCCAATGAATATTGGAGAAGGGGCCCTGGTCAGCCGTATGACGCAACTTAGTCGCGATGCTCTCATAAGAGCGCTGGACGGCACTGACGTCCATTTTCCGGATACAATTCTGGATCCTCGTGGGCAACTGCTTCGTATCCCTGGCCCGCCAATTATTTTTGTACCCTAGGGCACTGAGGGAACCGAAAAAATCCTCAATGGGACGGCACTGGGGTAAGTTGGTCGGGTTTCCTTTCTGCTCAAGATACTCCAGCGTCTTCTTGGCGTACTTCCCATCCGCATGATGCTCCTTTAAGAACGGCAGAAGAATTTTCTCAAGACACTCTGGTACACTTGTTGATTGATGGCCAGACCGCTCGGCTTGAACCACGGCTTTGAAATCCCTCTGTCCAATATGGCGATGTACAGCATAACTTTTTTTTTCAAATTTATGCTTAAACTTTTATTTTACTTCGGGGGGTGTGGCCGACTTGTCGCTGGAATAGTAGCTGTCATTTCCTGGAATGTGGGTCTTCGAGAGCGGAAAGTAACTTTCGTCGTCCAGCACGAACGACGTCCCGCGGTAGTTCTCCGGCACTTCTCCGGCACTGCGATTTCACGGTCGCTATCGCCTCGTCCGTGTACTCGGGGGACCGAGTCTTCTTCCGACAGATGATGCCCTCCATCTTGAGGGTTCGGTGAATCAAGGTATGGGAGCAGTGATATTTTCGGCCTGCGTCACGCAAACTCGTTCCGTCCTTGTTGTCGAACAGCTTTTTCAACGCTTCCTTCTTCTTCTTCGTCATTATCTTCGCCGGATGGCCTCTACCGGCCTTCCGGTTCACGCTCAAGGATGCCAGGATCCGGTAAACTGTACTCACGGGCACGTTTTCGTCTGACAGCACCCGAGCAAAAAGAAACATGCCACCCATTTTTAGGGAGTCCATACACGGTAATTCTAGAATACTCCTTTTATGACTATATTTTACACATTTTTGAGAAAACGGTTTATACGTCAAAAAATGTTTAGATTTTAGTTACAAACGAAGACTACTTTTTATGCATTTCCGAGTATGTGAACGGCGAACAAAAATGTGTAAAAAGTATTCCCCGCTGAGAAAAGAAAATTTACGCCGCGCTCGACGCCGCGACATGCCACCATTTTCAAAACAGCGTTCATTGAAAAAGCAGCGTTTTAATTCAGTTCCCGGTCCAGGATTATTTTTGTAAAGTGTCAGCGGTGGGTCACCGAAAAATGGAGGAACTGTCAAAAACTTTAGAACAGGACGTATTCACGACACTGGCAGGTAATTAAAGCATTTACTTTTATGGTCAAGCAAATTTTAACCAAATATAAAAGGTCTCCCCTGCCCTGTGGCCGGATGCAATTTACGCATATCAGGTTGTGTGCAACAATTGAGAACAGACATTAAAAAATACCACAAGATGAAGACCAGCTCAAAGAATGCAGTTCCTTTTCGGTGTGGCGATTGTGGTACTATTTTTACGTGCTTCAAACGGCTCAAAGATCACATAGTGAACCACTATCAGCCCCTCACACCGCCAAAATTGGAGTTCACTAATCCTCCGGAAGCAATGGAAACGGAAACTGAAGACGTAGTGGTTTCCCTGCCTAAGGAAGGAATAACGAATCCTCATTATTTTACGGTATCCATTTCACGAGAAGGGCTGGTGGGAATCGCTTCAGCTTGCATCACTGCAGTTCGATCAGATGTTTCACTTACTGAAAACAAAATCAAGTTATTTATGGAACATTCCATTAATATGTTGAGCAGCTATCAGCGTTTTTTTTTAAGTCTCTTAAAGAAATTTCTTAGTGCTAAAAAACTCGCTGTAGACGATAATGTAGTTCAATTAATTAATGCAATGGCGATTCCAGATTTGTACTCAGATGTTAAGAATCGTGATAGTAATGTAAGTTTTCTTTCTGGAACTACTCAATGTAGCGTTCCGGAACCTGAAGAAATTCTGCTAGGATCTCGGAAGATTGTTAAAACCACATGCTATCAACAATATACCGACAAGAGGGCCAAGAAAACAGTCCGATCTGTCAAGAAGACAAGTACAGTGAAAGATACCATGCATTATATTTCGGTGAAGGATACTATTTCCCTTATAATGCAAAATTCAGATGCTAGAAGTATGGTTACGAGTGAACAAAAAGCAGACAGCAACGTGCTCAATAGTTTTAAGGATGGTTCTCTATTCGAAGCCAATGATTTTCTCAAAAAATATCCATTTGCTCTTCGCATATCTTTGCATGTTGATGATATTGAAACCTGCAACCCTCTCGGTTCACGGAAAGGGAAACAAAAACTTATTATTTTTTCATTTAAAATTCAAAATCTTGACGATAAAATCAACAGTTTAGTGGACCACGTATATGTATGCCTAATGGTTAAGGCTAAACTGGTTAAAAAGTACGGGAACGAAAAAATTGTCGAACCACTGATAAAAGATTTAATGTCCTTGCAATCCAACCAAGGTGTACAAGTGAAGGTAAACGGTCAAAATTATGCTTTGCGAGCTACTTTGATTCATATTCTGGGTGATACTGCCGCCATGCATGAGCTACTGCATCTAATGCCTCCCCAATCAAAAATGTTCTGTAGAGCACATAGCACGACAAGACCTCCATAACGGACAATTTGGTAAATAAAATACGCCAAGAACTCGTGAAAGTTATCAGCTTGATCTGGCCGCTATTAAAAATGGTTCGACTACTCCAGCAATATGTGGAATCATTCGAGAAAATGTCTTCAGTTCATTGAAATATTTTCATATTTCAGAGAACATTTCATTCGATCCCATGCACGATGTGTTGGAAGGTCTAGTCCCTCTGGTCCTCAAGCAAATGTACAATTTTTTTTTGTCAATGTTTCGAAATCCGTATCTGAACATGAGCTGAATGCGAGAATAATTAACTTCGATTATGGTATTGCGGAGAGTAGGGATAAACCATGTGGTAACGTTTCTGTTAAGGGCTTGAAAAAGTCTGGACATGCGTTATCTCAATCTGCCTCGCAAACCTGGCTTTTACTCCGTGCGACCCCTTTCCTTTTCACTGACCTTTTAACCAAAAAATGAAAAATTCATGAGTATTATACGCGACATCCTAAAAATTACATTCTATTCGTTTTCAAAGTCACTGTCAAGAGAAATGATCGAAGATTTCAAAAGTGCTATCTGTAATTTTCATTCTTGTTTTAAGCAATAGTTTCCTTCAATCAGGCCAACTAACAAAGTTCACCGCTCACTATCCTAAAATCGTGGAAAATAATGGTCCGTT